TAGGTAGGACTTAACTAATAAGTTAATCAATCCCTATAATGCCACCGTCCTATACCGGTGCATTAAACTACACAATCCAACAATTGATGTAACGATTAAGGAAATACATCAAACAATCCAGAAATAACTATGATAATATGATATCAAGTTATCACAAAATAGAAATGACTTATTATTTATTTAAGCTTCCTATATCATATGTCCTACACAAACTGAATCTTATACATGATGATATTTTATTATACCATCAAATAAGCGTTCTCCATATCTAAATCATCCTACACATTTAATCTCAATTGCTAAAACATTTTAAAAGATTAAATCCATTCGTTTGTTTAAAACATTCAAATAGCAAGCATCATTATGATTAAGTCTATTTAAATTTACTTAAACCCAAACCTAGTCCCTATTTAATGCTCAGGAATCCTAGGCATATTTCTACGTTCCATCATTCTACAAATATGAAAATTACATAATTTAAACATGTAAAAATTCACACCAGAAATCAAATCAAAATCATGCATTTATCAATTCATAACACAAGAATGGATATGAACTAATTTCATAAAACCTATGTTCTAATCCAATTAACACATGCATAATTTTTTAATTTTATGTGTTTAATAAATCTTAGAATTTCCTAGGCATGTACAGAAACACGAATCAAAGGGAAAGAGATAGAAGAAGAACTTGCCTTAAACTTTTGGATCGAAAGTTAAACTTCAACTTCCTTGATTTTCTCTCTATAGGGTTTTTCTCCTCCTTCCTTCCTTTTCCTCCTTCCCTCTCTTACTCTCTCTCTATAAAATATATCACGTGAATATTTTTTAACCCCCTTTTATAACCTATAGCTATATATTTATAGGTTAAATAAAATAACCCTAACCCTTTTCCTAATCCAAGTCAACTTAAAAAAATATAATAATAAAAATATTTAAAAGGTAAGTAAAATATGTTACGTATATAATTTATGTATATCTTTATGAAATAAATAAATTATACACATCCCATTATTTATTAATGGATTATCCAATAATACCTAAGTTAGCATAATATTATAAAGTAATTTAAAAGATAACACGTATCAAATCTATGTATATTTTTATTATTTAAATATAAAACATATACATCGGATTAAATATTACTACCCAAGTTACCATAAAAGTAATTAATAAATTACCCATTATTTATTAATGCATTGTCCAATAATACCTAAGTTACCATAATATTATAAAGTAACTTAAAACATAACACGTATCAAATATATATATATTTTTATTATTTAAATATAAAACATATGTATCAGATTAAATATTACTACTCAAGTTACCATAAAAGTAATTAATAAATTACCCATTATTTATTAATGGATTATCCAATAGTACTTAAGTTACCATAGTATTATAAAGTAACTTGAAACATAACACGTATCAAATCTTTGTATATTTTTATTATTTAAATATAAAATATATACATCAAATTAAATATTACTACCAAAGTTACCATAAAAGTAATTAATAAATTAGTTTCGCTTTTATATATGTATCTAATATATATCTATATGTATATATACACAACTATCCATGGGTAATAATCCATACCCATCCAATCTCCTATCTATGTAGTTTATGGGACCTAATTGGTTGGCCCTTACTAGTAACCATAACCATAAAAGAAAAATAAAATAAAATAATAAAAGTAAAGAAAACATTTAATTTACAGTTAATCAAAATGCCATTTAAGCACATAATCTAATTAAACAATTAACACATAGACAAATACAAATAACATATAGACATATAATCAAATACTCAAGTAACACTTAATTCAATTATACCCATAAGAAATGAGTCAAATAATCAATTAAATAATTAAAAATATAATTAAAGCAAATAAATAAATACCGAGATTATCCTTTTAAAATTAGGGGTATTATATAACCCGTCCTTTGGTGACTCCGCAGTGACATGAGAGAAGGGTTGGCTACTGTACCTAACACTTGGTACCCCTGCGGTGTCATTTGGAGCCTAGATAACTCAACCACGTTAGGGTGTTTCCCCTAATTTTCTCTAGGTTACATTAACACACCGGCCCTTTGGTGACTCCGCGGAGACCGGGTTTTCTCAAAACCATTTATCCAAATTCTCCCCAAAAACCCAATTCTATTTCATTTCAAATAACTTTGCCCTTTTTCGTGCCCAATGTTATGAATGTATGTTACATGCTTTGCTATTTACAATGAAATAAAAAAATTTATACAACATAATTTAGCATGCATCCTCATAGTCAGTTCTATTATGATAATAAACACTAGGCATGAAGATTAACACTTAGGCATGGAACTAAACACTTAAGCATGATTTTCACATAATTTCATCGACACATATAAGCGTAGATTTCAAATACAACAATTATATCATTTTCTAGGCAATCAATTCAAATAGAGCATGCTTGATAACAAATATTGAAAGAAAATTCACTAAGGAACAAGAAATTGGGAATTAGAAACCCTTACCTCAAGAATTGCAAAAACCCCCCAAATTGTGCCCTAAATTTTGAATTTCCTAGAGTGGACCAACCAACAAATTACTCTGATCAACTTGTAAATCTCGCCGTGAGCTTCAATTTGATTCCTTTTTCCCATTATTTTTATTTTCTTTCTACCCCACATATATACATATATACACATTTAATTCACAATCACTTAAAACACATTAAATAAAATAATTCTGATGCAAATGAATCCAACTAAAATACTCGGATGCAAAAATTCTGGTAGCAGGTCCCACACAGGACCGTCCGGCCTATAAAACAAAAAAATGCGAAAATGGTCACCCTTGCATTTCAAGGAGTCTGGACTCAAAGAAATGTCTCAAACAATCCCTCGGACACAACCGGCACACTCCATAGTGTCTAATACGCAAAACGATAAAAGACAAAAATACCCTAGCAACGACAAAATTCTGGCAAAAAGAAAATGGTTAAAAATGGAAACATCACAATCTCCCCAACTTACAAGGATTTCGTCCCCTAAATTGAGTCATACCTAGGGATGAAAAGAATGCTGGGTACTTAGAACGAACCTCTTATTCAAGCTCCCAAGTAGCCTCCTCGACTCCATGGTGTCTCCAAAGAACTTTCAGTAGCGGTATCGTCTTGTCCCTTAACACCTTCTACTGTGTGTCAAGGATTTGAATTGGTCCCTCTTCATTAGAGATATCCTCATTAATACCCACATCAACCTAATCCAAAACGTGAGATGGATCCGGTTCATACTTCCTTAGCATCGAGACATGAAAAACATTATGAACTTTGTCCATCTATAGTGGCAAAGCAAGTCTATAGGTAACCTCTCCTACACGGTCCAAGATCTCAAACGGTCCAATGAATCGTGGTGACAACTTACCACTTTCCCAAATCTCATCAATCCCCTTTCATGGAGAAACCTGTAGGAAAACGTGGTCTCCCACCTCACAAGATAGCGGTCATCTCTGCCTATCCACATAGCTCTTTTGTCGGCTCTAAGCTATAAGCAATCTCTACCTGATTAGCTTAATCTTCTCAGTAGTCTCGAGTACTATGTCGAGTCCTAAGGCGTCTGTCTCGCCTGCCTCAGGCCAACAGACTAGAGACCTACAAGGTCTACCATACAACACCTTAAATGGAGCCATCTCAATGCTCCCCTGATAACTGTTGTTGTAGGCAAACTCAATAAATGGAAGGTGGTCCTCCTAATTACCTCCCAAATCGAGCACCCATGCCCGAAGCATATCTTCCAAAATCTGGATGGTACGTTCCGACTGGCCGTCAGTCTGTGGATAGAATGCCGTACTAAGGTGCAACGCTGAGCCAAACGCTGCTTAAAGTCCTTCCCAGAATATCAAAGTGAACTTGGTATCCCTATCCGAAACAATGGTTACTGGAACTTCATGCAATCTTATAATCTCCTTCACATACAGCACACCAAGCTCCTCTGCGTCATATGTTACCTTAATAGGCAAAAAGTGAGCCGTCTTGATCAGTCTATCAATGATGACCCATACAGCCTCATTGCCCCTCCAGGACTTAAGAAGACCTGTTACAAAATCCATAGCAATTTGCTCCCATTTCCACTGCGCCACAGGCAATGGTTGTAACAAACCGGCAGGTCTCTGATGCTTAGTCTTCACCTGTTGACAGGCAAGGCACTTAGCCACAAACTAGGCAACATCTTTCTTCATCCTGTTCCACCAATACTGACGTCTCAAATTGTAAAATATTTTAATACCACCTGGATGAACTACAAAGTGGGAAATGTGAAACTCATGCAGAACGTCCTCATGACAAATTATGGGGCCAACCAACAAATCTTTGAATTGTAGACCTCTATCTACATGTAAGGTCCAATCCTTCACTATCTCACCGCAGGAGATCAAAGTGTGAATGACATCCAAATCCGGATCCTATCTCTATGACTTAATCACTCGTCCGACAAGAGTAAGCTGAGCCACAATACTAAACAGGAATGCCGACTCACTGCCGTCGTCCTCATAACAACACAATCCCATCTCTGCCAAATCTTCGAGCATCATCCAATTTTGAATGGCCAAACTAGCAAAAGTCCAACGAGATTTTCGGCTTAAGGCATCTGCTACCATATTTGCCTTGCCCAGATGATACTGCCAGTCAAAGTTGTAATCTTCCAAAAATTTAACCCATCGCCTCTGTCTGTTGTTCGAGTCCTTTTGGGAGAAAAGTTACTTAAGATTCTTGTGATCCGAGAACACCTCGAATCTCTCACCATACAAGTAGTGTCTCCAGTGCTTCAAAGCAAATATAACTGCCGCTAACTCTAGATCATGAGTAGGGTAGTTAAGCTTGTGAGTCTTCAATTATCGAGACCCATAAGCCACTACTCTACCATCCTGCATTAACACACAACCCAAACTATCACGTGAAACATCACAATAGATCACATAACCTAAGCCACGCTTAGGTATCACCAACACTGGAGCTGTAGTCTACCTTATCTTCAACTCTTGAAAGGATAACTCAAAGGCTTCATTCCACACAAACTTGATCCCTTTCCGAGTCAAGCGAGTCATAGGTACTGCCAAACGGGAGAAATCTTTCACAAATCTTCGATAGTAACCTGCTAGGCCGAGGAAACTTTGGATCTTAAAAGCATTTTTGGGTTGCTCCCAATTCAAAACCGCTTCTATATTTGATGGATCTACTGACACTCCACCTTCTGAGACAACGTGCCCCAAAAACTTCACCTTCTGTAGCCAAAACTCACACTTCTTATATTTCGCATACAATCGGTACTCTCATAAGATCTACAATACAATGCTCAAATGGACCTCGTACTCCTCCTGTGTCTGCGAGTACACAAGTATGTCATCCACAAAAACTACCACAAACTGGTCCAAGTAATCATAAAAGACAAAGTTCATTAAGTTCATGAATGTTGCTGGTGTATTAGTCAAGCTAAAAGGCATAACAAGGAATTCATAGTGTCCATATCGTGTATGGAACGCTGTCTTTGGGATATCCTCATCCCTAACCCGCAACTGATAATAGCCAGACCTCAAGTCAATCTTCGAGAAACAACTGGCTCCTCTCAACTAGTAAAACAAATCATCTATCCTTAGTAAAGGATACTTGTTCTTGATGGTGGCATGATTTAACTTTCGATAGTCAATGCACAACCTCAAAGAACTATCTTTCTTCTTAGCAAACAAGACTGGTGCATCCCACGGTGACACACTCGATCGAATGAAACCCTTTATCCTTAAATCATCAAGCTGCTTCTTCAATTATTCCAATTCAACTGGTGTCATAGAAATCGGCGCAATACCAGGCATCAAATCAATAGTAAACTCTACTTCTCAATGTGGAGGCAACTCTATCAAATCCTTCGGAAACATATCCAAGAAATCATGAATAACCGTTGGATAATCCTTTTCTACAACATCATCTTCTTCTATAAAAAGGCTAGCCAAAAAGTAGTCACCACGACTCCGTCTACGAATTCAATACAGTGATGAAGGTTGGGAATCACTCCGATTTCCCTCGAAAAAGAAACAATCTCCCTCAAGAGTGCAAACCGTGACTCTACCTCTGAAACAGTCGATTGTGGCATAAAATGAAGTTAACCAATCCATCTCAAGAATGACATCAAAGCCAGTCATCGTCAAACAAAAAAGTTCGCCCGACTATCACAACGAAACAATCTTGCATGCTCAAGGACACTGAAACCCCAACTGGCGTATTAACACACAACGCCCGATCCATGAAACTGATCTCTAACCCTGATGCAAATGCAAATGATGATAAAATGAAGGAATGAGATGCATCAGAGTCAAAGAGAAGACGAGCCCAAAACCAAACACTGGAAAGATACCTCGGAGAACTGATGGACCAGAAGATGCATCAGTCTGAGCAATCATGAAGACACGTCCCTGTGGTGCCTGTGCTTGAGAACTACCAACCTGAACACCTGACTACTACGTTGGTATAGTAGGAGTATCGCTCTTAACTATTCGTGAACCCTGTGAAGACATGGCAGGCTGTGGTGGTGGTGGTGGCCTAAAACTTGATTGAACTATAGCCGATTGCGATGGCCTCTGCCGTGACCTTCTACCACTACTAGTGCCTGCTCCTTGATTCGGATAGTCTTGAATCAAATGACCCTACTGGCTATACCCATAATAAGCTCTCGAAGAAACCGAAGACGATCTCATAGGACAGTTGGACTTATAATGTCCAGGCTGCTGACATTGAAAACAAACAACTCCACTATTATCAAACCCAGTTGGCATAGGAGTGATAGGAGCGGATCATGCAGATTGCTGCCCCTGAAACTGAGATGAACCACCCCTGTTCCTCTTCTATGAAGGTTCCTTTAAAGATGGTCCTACACTCCTCTTCTGTCTCCACTATTCTTTTCCTGCATTTCTATCTTTTGTTTTAGCCTCTAACATCAATGGCCTTTCCACTGCCTCTGAATAAACTTTGATGTACTGTGCCGTTATCAATGGCCTCATTTTGTAATCTAGACCAGAAATAAACTTTCGAGTCTTGTCAACTTCATTGCTCACCATCTTTGGAGTAAAGCGAGAAAGTAAGGTGAACTTGTTCTCGTACTCCGTCACTGACATATTGCCTTAGATAGGCCATTAAACTGATCTCTCAGCTCCCATCTCTTGGGGACTGGAAAATACTTCTCGTAGAACAATTCTTTAAACATGTCCCAACTTATTTCCTCCACCTTGTGCCGATTGGTGACCGACTTCCACCAAAACTTAGCATCCTTGGTAAACTTATAAGTGGCTAGGATGATTTTTACATAATCATCCGTCACATCCATAGAAGTCAAATGGGTTTCCATTTGATCCATGTAGTCATCCTCTATCATGGGATCTGCACCACCTTCAAACATCATTGGCATCAACTTAGAAAACCCAGAAATCAACTTGAGACATTTCTATGCTGGCGTCTCCTCAACTTAAACTATTGGTTGCGGTACTGGTTGCGGAAGAGTAACAATTGTTGCCCTCAAAGCACTTTGTAGCAAACGGTTCAATGCTAGTTCTGCCGAACCTTCACCCTCTTCAACGGTTGCTTCAACATCATCCTTTCTGATAGAAAAACCTCTTAGGATAATCAAATCCCTAAGAAGTGTATCCTCTTCATTTTGCTCCGCCGGATTGGAGCGAGAGTTTTCACCAACATCAGCCCTTGTCGGCCTAGAGCTAACACCCCTTGGTTTCTGTCGTGGCGGCATCATGCTATAAAACGAAAAAAAATGGTTTAATCACATGACACTAAGGTCCATCATGGATGGCTCAACATAAAATGATGCCATGCCAACACTTAGCATGCAAAACTATGCAATAAACACCTTAACATAAACCTATAAGCACATAAACAAATAAGTAGTTAAGCATGCTTCTTCAAGTAATAAAACATGTAGCAAATAATCACATAAACAATGTAGACAACTTCATGTAGGCCTCTACCCGTCGTCCTAATGGTTTTCGAACCATCACTCTGATACCAAATTTGTAATGACTCGAAACCGTGGGTCCGTATCGTTAACCAGGTCCTTACCCGAACCCGAGGTCAACTAGGTCATACCACCATTTTCCTGAGTCCACACCTATCATACGAGTCTATCCAGGGATTCAAGACTCCCAAGATACAACTTTGCAGAGAGGGTCAGCTGATACTGGTCAAAAAGGAATGATCAGCCGGCTGATGGCCCTTCATCGGTCGGCTGACAGGGCAGGTTCAGTCGGCCGACCTACAGGGTCGGCCGGCTGAAACAATTCTGAAAACAACATGCTCTCGAGACTGCTACAGTGCAAGCATTGGTTGGCTGATGAAGGAGGTTCGGTCGGCCGAACCTGGGGTTTCGGGCGGCTGATGGTGAGGGTCAGTTGGCCGAAACAAGGCCCTGAACCCTGAACTCACTGGGAAAAGCATTCTGGCAGTACTTTGTGCATGCTTAATCTATACCGAACCTGTTATGCAGTTGAATTCCAAATTCATGGCAACAAAATATTGTATTATACATTAGAAAGGCGTCAATAATTAATCATAAACATAACTCCAATGCCCTTTCACCTCCACAAGTTCCTATAATTCCAAATATATATCAAGTGTTCCAAAAGATTATAGTCACATTACTATACAATTACATTTCATTGGTCACAACTTTACTAAAGAATGGGCTAAATACAAAAGGGGACAAAAGTAAACACCTAATCTTTTACAAGCTTATGAAGGGTCAGCGTCCACTACTTCCTTTCCCGGGCCTAAAAAATGTTAAATAATGGGGTGAGCAATTTGCCCAGTAGGTGGTGTAATACCCCTAATTTTAAAAGGATATTTCTGGTATTTAATTTATGATTTAATTGCATTTTATTTGATTAGTTGCTCAATTGTTTGTATTGTGGTGATTGAATTGAATTAATTGTGTTATTTTTAATTTTGTTAATTAGAATTACTTGTTTAAGTGTTTTAATTATTTAATTGATTTAATTATTTAATTGGGTTGTTTAATTGGAATTAATTGTTTAAGTGTTTTTAATTCTTTAGTTGTATTTTACTATTTTAATTACCATATTTATTTAATTGATTTAATTAGTTAATGCATTGTGTATTTATTTTCTTTATCGTGATTTAGGGTTTTAGGTTTCAAGGTGTAGCCGACTTATTAATTTAATTAGTGAATACGTTCCATTCTTGGATTACAATTAGAATTAGGGTTTAGGGTTTATAAATCTATAAATATACATGTATACGTTTTGCCTAGGGTTGAAAACAAAACTTTATTCCCGGAGTGAGAGGCAGAAAGAAATAGAGAGCGAAAACTAGAAAGGTTACCAGAGAGGTTCAAGGATAATTGGACGAGGTGTTTCTGGGTTGAACCAAAGCACTGGAGGAGTAGACTTGTAGTTGATAACACAAACGTATCATACAGAAACAGTGGAATTAGAGTTTCAAATTTGAAACTCAAAGCAAGTCTCTGTTCTTCTCTTTCCCATGAATCTATGTTCTGTGCATGCTTAGTTAGACTTTAGGAATTAAACTAAGTTTTAATTACATTGTTTATACATGTTAAATCAGTTTCTAGCATCATAGAATTAAATCTGTTGCTCTGTTGTTACAAGTTCAGTTTGTATATGGGGGTTGTTTGCTTTAAACATTGATGAGTAATTAAACTCTTAATTGTATAACTCTGTCTTGTGTTCAATCTGGGATGAGGATAGGACTTTAAAACCTGTAATAAAACTGAAAATTCTGTCTTGTGTTCAATCTGGGATGAGGATAGGACTTTAAAACCTGTAATAAAACTGAATTCAAAGACTGGAAACCACTAGAGTCGAAGAAGACAGCAGAAGAACAGACGCTTTCCTTGAAGTGGAGCAGGCTCTTTTGTTTTCAGAGCCTTCTCTTTCTCTTGCTTGAAGCGTAAAACTGATGTTTGAGGTCTGTTTGGCTAAACTAGATTATTCAAAGGCTATCTATGTGCTACTGTATGATGTAATTCACTACTTAAGACTTATAAAAATGTTGGGAAGCAAGCTCACATTCAGATACTGGAGATAGAATTAATCTAAGCTTAAACATAGAATTCCTAGGTGGATGAGTGGAGAATTAACTTTTGTTGCTTACTGTTTTTTTTTAAAAAATTTTGATTTCTCTGAAAGATCTTAAATTGCAAATTATGTTTCTAGTTGTGGTATAAGCATATAGTAGTAATTTAATTATGTGTATGCTTAAATAGAGTTAACTAGTGTTTAAATCGGTTATACATAGCACCAGTATGGTACTATTTGGAGAGGTAGATTGTTTAATCTTATTTTACAAATTTAAAGGAATGGGATTTGGATTCTAACTCTGTTAGTGGATGCATGATTTAGTTTTACACATGTGAAATTGTATTTGTGCTTATTTTGGAATGTAGTTGATAACTATTTATACTGTTTTTGGTCAACTATGGTAAATGGAGGATTTAAATGCTATGACTCATATTAGCAATTTAAATGGTTGGAATGTGATGTTTAGGTTCTGTAATGAATGCCTAATATCATGTTATATGTATTAAACTGTATTTATGCATATCCTGGATAATGGTTGATAGATAACAATTATTGTCTTTACAATTATGTTGTTTGGAGGATTGTGTGCACTGGTGTGGGACTGTGGCATAGTAGGAATGGATTAGTAAAACACTGAATCCTACCTATTTTGGAATGAGTTGGATTAACTATAAAAAGTTAAGTCCTACTTATATGGATGTCTATGCACCGGTATGGGACGGTGGCATATTAGGGACGGCTCAGTTCAAAATAGTGAGACCTACCTATATTGGGGATGGATTAGTTCAAACACTAAGTCCTACCTATATTGAAATAAAGTGGATTAACTACAAAAGTTAAGTCCTACTTATAACTAGGTGTCAGGTCAATAAACCTTTTGAATGACACATTTGGAACGGACTTTATATATTTATGTTATGGTACTATGGTATGAGCTTGGGTCTCATGACCATGGTTAGGGTGCGTATATTACCTAGGATGGATAGCTGGATAGTAGTGTTGTTCCCTGGTAGGTCTAGGTACACATGACCACGTAATGTGCGATTTGCATGGTATCTCTACTCAAGCTGAGACACACCTATTGGACTAGTGAGCGTCCTATAGTGTGTATTATATACAGATATGGACTACTCTAGATATTGTTGAGTCTATCTAGGATGTATTTGCGTATCAGATTCTTGTTTGGATCGTAGTAGAATGGGACTTGCATGTGGGCTTGACCTACTCTTTTATTTTCCAGGTGCTCACTAGTGCCAGGGTTAGAGCTTGATCGTGCAGAGCAGATACAGACTTCCATTCCACTAACTACGTAGGACTGCTTCCTTACTAGTTTGGATTTTGATTACAGTTACTGTATTTTATAGTTGGGATTTTTATTAGGGATCCTCTAGATGGATTCCCGAGTTGTTAAATAATTGGAGGTTTTGGATTAATGGATTTTAATGATTATACTTTGAGGATTTTTTAATTCGAGTTCTTTACAGCCATTTATTATTTATTTCTTATTATTTCAATTCTTATTCTGTGTTCGATTTAAATATTAATTATTTAATATGCCCTCGGGTTTGGGCCTGGGCCTGATCAACCCATGTCTCGGATCCGAGGGGTATCACAGGTGGTGCTTAAAACACACCTCTTGTGGCCTCGTTAATCCAAACAATGAATAGGACGATAGGGAATTGGATCAAGCAAGGTCAAGAAAAAATACAACATCAATTCCAAGTTCAAAACAAGCAAATGTCGTGCTATGAATGCAATGCCATGTATGTCACTCCCCATTTTCAAAAACATTCATCGCTTCATAAACTGTTAATATAACCCGTCCTTTGGTGTCTACGTAGTACCACGGGAGAAGGGTTAGCTACTGTCCTTGACCTTTGGTAGCCCCGCGGCGTCATTTGGGGCCCAGATATCTCAACTACGCTAGGGTGTTTCCCCTAATTCTCTCTAGGTTACATTAACACACCGTCCCTTTGGTGACTCCGTGGCGACCGGGTTTTCTCAAAACCATTTTATCCAAATTCTCCCTAAAAACCCCTTTCTATTTCATTTCAAATAACTTTACCCTTTTTCGTGCCCAATGTTATGGATGTACATCACAAGCTTTGCCATTTACAATGAAATAAAGAAATTTCTACAACATAATTTAGCATGCATCCTCATAGTCATTTCTATTACGATAATAAACACTAGGCATGAAGATTAACACTTAGGCGTGGAACTTAACACTTAAACATGATTTTCATATAATTTCCTCAACACATATAAGTGTAGATTTCGAATACAACAATTATATTATTTTCAAGACAATCAATTCAAATAGAGAATGCCTGATAACAAATATTGAAAGAAAATTCACCAAGGAACAAGAAATTTGGAATTAGAAACCCCTACCTCAAGAATTGCAAAAACCCCCAAATTGTACCCTAAATTTTGAATTTCCTAGAGTGCACCAACCAAGAAATTGATCCGATTAACTAGTAGATCTCGTCGTGAGCATCAATTTGCCACAAACGGCATTAAAAAATACCAAGAATTGAGGGAGAAATAAAGGTTTAAAGCCTTGAAGTGAAAGAAAAAGAAAAATGGAAGTTTGAGAGGAAGAGAGAGAGACCAACGGGAGAGGATGAGAGAATAGAGATGATAAGCGCCGAATATTGTATATTCAAGCGCCCTA